GGCATCTGGGCGTCTACCAGGGCCTTCCTCTGTAGGGCCTGGGCCTACTGACCCTGAGAGTGATGAGGACAACAGTGACCTGGTCATTGAGAATCGCCACCCTCCCTGTTCTAATGGGCTGTCTCAGGGGCCCCTGCGCTGGGACCTGCAACCTGGCTGCCTACTTCCTGGTGCTGGCAGCTCTCTGCCCTCCTTGGATAGCCAAGAGCAAGCCAACTCTGACTGGGGGAACGGCATGCGAGGTGATGTTAGTGGATTCAGCCTTTGACAGGGAAAGACGCAGCCCTTGTCAGCTCAGGCTGCTGGAGCGTGGCATGGACTTCCCAGCTGGGAGGGAAGATTAGCTTGCTCACAGAGCCCTCTCAGCCCAGGGAATATTAAAGGTTGTCTACAAATGCAGACATGGTCCTTCTGTGTCCCAGCCCAAACCCCTTCCCTGAGCCTGTAAGTCAGCCTTCTTCCCTGGACATGAGGCAGGAGGGATAAGGGCGCAGCAGAGACCTTCCTAGAACCATGCAGCAGGAGGCCCACTGACATTGTTAAGAAAGATGCTATGGAAACAGCCGCTGTGTACAAAAGGTTTAATTTTGATAAGGAGTTGGAAGGCTGGGGGACTAGGAGGTGCTTTAGAGAAAATGCCCACCCTGGTGCTCCTGTCTTTGGAACTATGACATGGCTTGCCCTTCATAGCCATGGGTGACCCTCTGCATGGATCTTCCTGTCACTTTACCCACAGAGGTAGAGCTTAGCTATCCATCTTCACAAAGACTTTGGGTCGGGAAAAGATCTTGATAGCCTCATCTATTTGCACCAGCTTCCGGTCCAGTTCGGCACGGTGGCCTTGGGCTCTCAGAGAGTCTGCCCCAGCAGGTAGCAGGACGAGCTCACGCAGCAGCTGGCTCTGGCCTACAGGGGAACAGTGAGTGCTGGGTAGGCATGCACGGTGCCCCATGGGCTCCCTTCAGCCACCCCTGCCCAAGTACTCACTCTGGAGCAGACTGTTCAGGGTCTCTAGTCGCTGGTTCTCAGGCATGAGTGTGTGGCCTGGGGGCATGGCAGGGTCTGGCTGGCTACGCTGACGAGCTTCTTCTTCCCTCCGCCACAGATCCCTGCGTTCCAACAGGCTGTGAATGCACAGGCCCCCAGGGTTGAGGACACCAAGGCAGACTGGCTCCCACCCCCCACAAAGGTCCCTAACCATACTTGTTGGCCCATGGAACCTACTAATGGGGCACATGGCCTTTCTGTGTGGCGTTGTAGTGTTCCTGGGCTTGCCGCTGCTGCTCCAGAACCTGCGCCAGGACCTGCAGGGAGCGGGAATGGCGCCGCGGGGCTCTCTTGGCAGCTCGGGCGTTATGACTGATGAAATCCACACCCAGGCCTGGCCCCTGCAGGGACATGGCAGGCATGGTGGGGATCCTGTGCACTCTGTCGTACCTCTGTACCCCAGCCCCAGGACAGCTGGCTAAGGGCCTCTCTAGTCCACACAGATTGTCTCACCTTAGCTTTGGCACCTGGCAGGGCAGACTGAGGACTGGAGACGCGGGATGGTGGGAGCCCAGGTCCACAGCGGGAGTGGGCCCGAAGGAAGTGGGCAGGCTCTGTCACAGAGGCAGGGCCAGGCTCCTGGAAGGTAGGACAGCAGAGGAATCAGGGAGGCTGCAGACAGGGTCCTAAGCCATAAACTATCCCCTGTGCTGTCCCTCCTTCAAGTTCCTCTCTATGCTCTTCTCGATGGGCCTCCTCCTTGAAGGAACACTTCTCAACATTTAAATACACTTTTCTCTTAAAGCTTTGAGAAAACAAACTACCCGCTGTCCACATCCATCTTCATTTAGCTACCTTCCTTGTCTCCATTTTTATTTATTTATTTATTCATTCATTCATTTATTTATTTTGGTTTTTCAGGACAGGGTTTCTGTGTAGCCCTGGCTGTCCTGAAACTCACTCTGTAGAGCAGGATGTCCTTGAACTCATACAGATCTGCCTGTCTCTGCCTCCTGAGTGCTGGGATAAAGGGCAGTGTCTCCACCGCCCGGCTCCCTTACTCCTTAACCAAGCTCTCTGGCTCTAGCACCCCAAAGTTACTGAGGGTTGCCTCTACGCCCTAGAAACCAAGGATATGTCCTTCAAGCCACTGACCTCAGTTTAATTGTCAATAACACTCTGGTCTCACTGATGAGATTGAGAGCTATGTATCCATCTGCTTCCTGGACACAGTCCTACCCCCTGGCAGTCCCACAGATGCTTCAGCCTGAATACACTCTCATGTGACCTTGTCTTTTCTCTCAGTCCTCTGTCTCTTTCAGGGTCCCTGCATAGAGACATGGTAACTACCACCAAAACCTAAACGTAACCCTCCGTTCTTTCCTCAGAAATACATGTTTCAAGGAATGGTGGTACATGCCTATAGTCCCAGGACTCAGTAGGATTGACAGTTTCAGGCCAGTCTAGGTTATGGAGAGAATTCAAGGACAGCCTGAGGCTAAATAGCTAGCTTGGGTTTCAGAAAGAAATGAGCTGGAAGTGGTGGTCCAAACCTATTATCCCAACACCTAGGAGGCTAAGGCAGGAGGACTGTTAAAAGTTCAAGGCCAGCCTGGGCTACATAGTTAGACAGTGTCTCAAAAGAAAGTAGTGGGGATAGCGGAGGAGAATGCTAGAGAGATGGCCCAGCGTTTAAGAGCACTGGATGCTCTTCCTTCCAGGGGACCTCACAGCAGTCAGGAACTCCAGTTCCAGGAGACCTGATGCCTTCTTTTGGCCTCTATGATATATAGACTTGCAGGCAAAACAGCCATACACATGTTTTTATCTGAAATAATTAATTAATTAAAAGAAAAAGAAAGTGGTGTGGTAGGAAACACCTTTAATTCCAGTACTTGGGAGGTGGAGAAAGGAGAGTCAGGAGTTCAAAGGTTAGCTTTAGCTCATGTACACAGAGTTTGAGGTTAGCCTGGGTTATAACTTAGTGAGTGGTACAGTGTATGCCTAGGGTGCATGAGTCCCTGGATTTGGGCTCCAACATCACAAATAAATGTTGACAAGCAGCTTAGGTAAAGTCTTTCAGAAATGTGTCCAGCTGGCTTTCAGCCCTAACCTTCTATAAATACAGTGATACCCACTCTCCCCATTGCCCTGATCCCAGGACTTCTTTCTAACTGTAAGGTTTCATCTCTTTCCCTAGCCTAATTCTTACTTTCCCTGATGCCAATCAGCTCCCCAGAGAGGGTCCACCCCAGATGTCTTAGCCTTTATGATCCCCACCCCATACACACACTCTGTAAGTTAGATCAGGGTATAATTGTCTGTTGACGTAGACCGACAATATGGCTGGTTCCCAGGGACAGATACCTTCATCCTGGCCTTGACTCGAGACTCCACATTGTCATACTTGGGTGAGCGCCACAGTGCCTTCAGGGGCTTAGGCTGGCCCTGCTCCCGGCTGCGTTCTTGATCTTGGAAGCGCCTCTGAATCTCTCTGATCCGCCTCAGGTTTTCCTTCTCATGGTCTTTTGAATCCTTTCCTAGGGAAGAACTGTTGCTAGGGACAGCCCTACAAATGGCCGTTCAACTCAGAGTGGAGCACATGGAGGCTCAAGCCACATGCTTGGCAGGAATTTCTCCTGGACGATCTGGTGGAGAGATGCCTAGTATACAAGAGGCCCTGGATGGACCTTCTCTGAGGAGCTGATTGGCATCTCCAACATCACACACACAGCACTACTGTCACCTTATTCTCTTCTTACCCAGTGTTCCTCCTGGTTATCCTCTACATTTTGATACTGAAGTTTACCACTAATCACCTTGTCTTGTCTTATTTTTTGCCTCCAACTGTGAGGCCCATACTTTTAAGTCTGTTTTCTTAACACCTTAGAAACAAGAAGTAGGCTACTTAAGTGATGTTCCGTCAAGGTGTGAATGCTTGAAGCTAGGATTTCCTACCTAAAGACGAGTTTTGATCCTGCCAAGAGGTACTGCACACTTCAGCCTCCTTTTGTGCTAGGAAAACTAACACCCAGAAAAGTGCATAGTTACCTGGGCTCAAGGCAATTAAGGAGCATCTTATTTTAATCTCTGCTTTTGACCTCCCAATGCCCCATACCCCTTCTGGGAAGGACTTACTCTTAGGAGACACCCCTGAACCAAGGGAGATGCCTCCCAGTTGCAGCAGCACGTCCCCCACGCCTCGCTGACCACGCTCTAGGATCTCTCGGGCTCCAGGCCTGATGCGGGGGCCACGAGGAGGACAGGAGTCCAGGTCGCGACCTGAAGTCAGCAGATCCAGCTTCAGCGCGTTTCCTTCCAGGCGCCCTTGGGCTGAGAAGCAAGACGCGGTGGAAAGCCGTGCTCAGTGACGGCGCGGTGTACTCGCCCGCCGCGGGACCCCGCAACTCACCCGAGGCCGGCCGCCTGTAGTAGTCCGGGCAGAGCGTAGGGTCTGGGGGAATGGGTCCAGAGATGCGGGACGGGCCCTCGCACATGATTCTACCGCAGCCCTGCAACCATGCACCGAAGCCTGCTGCGCTGCGTAACTCCGACCCCCAATCCCTGTCGGGTGCTTCCACCCTCGACCCGAGCCCTGCAGCCCCGCAATACCCGCCATTCCCGACCCCCACCCCTCGTCTCCCGCCCGGCCCCTAGGCTGAGCCTGCGCCACCGCCCCGCGACAGGGATCCCAGCCCACTGCCCTGAGGTGTTCGCAACCCCTCCCCCGCAGCGACCCAGCGGGGGCTCTCACTGGAGCAGTTTTACCGCCAACTGTAGCAAGCCGGTAGGAGTTGCTGTTGCTTGGCAACAAATGGCTTCCTGAGGTCAGGGGTCAAATGATTTTGGCGAAAAGCCTTCTGGGTTTTGTAGTTCCATATGAGGAGCTAGTGTAAGTCTAGGATCTCAGCAGGATCCTCATCTGCCAACACTGAGTATACCAGTCCAACCCCCCTCTCAGCCCGCAGTCTTCTCCTAGCAACCGTCAAGGGAAGCACTGAGTTCGCACAGCCATGGCCTCAGCAGGGGCCCAGAGGCATCCTGAAGCCCAGAATGGGGAGGCAGTAGGATTAGCCCAGGTTGCAGAGATCCCTGAGGTGACTCAGGCTTTTGAAGCTCGGGAGGTGGAGTGGTAGGGCAGGAGAGGTGGGACTCTAGGTGACCCAACTCCCTAACTGCCATGTAGAGGAGTCTGAGCTGGTAGCCTTCATGTCATATTTGGTGGCGAATATTGGACTTTGAATGACTGATTCCCTACAATACTTTGCTGCTTTGTGTGTCTTCTAGTGTCCAGGACCAGGAGAAAAGTGTCTGGTGCCAGCACGTGAGACTTGCAGACCCCCAGGTGAAGACAAGTGTTCAGTAGGACACAGCTTCGAGCCGGAGCTCCAGGAGGAAGGAATAAACCGAGGAGAGGAAGGACTCAATCCAGGGGTGGAAGCAGGAGAGGAGAGAGGACCCAAGCCTGCATCGTCCATCGTGAGGCCCAGTCATGGAACCAAGAGAAAGCCCATCAAGTGAGAGGCTTTCAGAGGGAAGGAGTTGCCGGGCTGGGGAGGGGGGTTTTACACCCCGAAAGTCCTAAATCCTGATACCTTTGAGGCAGAAATTTTTGTCTTCTGCTGCTACCTCTAACTCCCAACTAGAACCTTCTATTTCTCTAGAACAGGAGTCTAAGAGGCAAAGAAAAAGATTTGAAGCATTCAGGTTTTGTAGGAAACTGTTACAAGAGTGTTGGGTCTCTACTGGGCTTGGGGCTTCACTGACCAAGAAAGGGGCAGCTAACTAGTCCTGGCATTGGTGGACAGGCAGAGCTAGGATCCAAAGACTGAAGCCTACCTCTGTCAGGCCTCTTGTCCCAGGCTTGGCTACCACAGCCCTCCCAGGGCCAAGCTACCATGCCCAACCTAGGGCTGAAGCTGAACTGCCACCCAGGATGCTGCTGCAGAAGGAGGAGCCAGAGGGCAGCCACAGTGAGTCTACACTGCCTGCTAAACAGCACAAGAAAGCCAAGAAGCGCAAGAGCGTAGGGGCTCCTGTGCCCCCAGCTGTAGCCAATACATCTGCACCCACGGAGACGCTGGGACTGGAGCGTGAGTGGACTCCCTGGGGTTACCCTTCTTTTGTCTTTTCGGACTGACATGGGCCCACCCGGCGCTCCAGTCTTTGCCCTGCCTTGGGTTCTTGCAGGAAAAGCCCAGCGTCTGCGGCCACTGTACCAATATATCAACTATTGCAACCCCGAGCTGAATCAGGCAGGGGACGGCGACGGAGAGCCAGAGGTGGAGCCCGAGTCGGAGTTAGCCCCGGCTCCTGAGGAGACAGGTGTGGAACAGCTGCACTTGCGGGCCTTGGTGCCCGTGGCAGGTGAGCTGGGCTTAGGCCTCGCTTTACCCTGCCCTAATGCATTAGTGCCTCTCACGCACACCCTTCCTTCTCTAGGGCAGGAGGTTGGAGGGGAGCCTGGGGGGTTGTCCAGTCGGAGGGTGAGTATCAGCCTCAAGGCTGAGGTGGATAAGACAACCCAAGTGGATATTGACAAGATGTTGAGTGTCTGTGCTGCCCCTCTTGTGCCCCCACTTTCCCCTCAGTACAAGTGACATGTCTCTACCCTGGGCCTAAACTAGGGCTGTGAGTTCAGGCTGACAGGTGGAGGGAAGAATTTAGTCATTTTTATCTATACTTGGAATTTATCTGTACTTGGGAATTTGGATTTGCTGAAAATAAACATTTCCCATCTTGAAGACTGATTCCTCAAATACGATGTCTGAATTGGGGAAAAGGCTGGGGAGAAGGGAGGAGGGTTCACCCGTGCAGCGTTTGCCTGATGGGTCATCTGGATCAGCTGGAACACGGACAAGTGTGTCAGGGTGGATGACAGGTGTTGTGTGATGAAAATTTTCCTGGAGAGACATGCACACTTACTCACCCCAGACTGGGAGCCCAGGACAGACCCAAGAACAGATACCACCAAAGCCCAACTTGGTGAACCAATGAATTTTATTGGGATTACTTACAGGTATATGGGTGAGGGGTTTACTATGGGAACAGAAATGCCTCAAAGGCAGTTGCATCACCAAAGCCCACCCCAGCATGGGTGACAGCTCACAGGAGCTAGGAACTGGGAGCATGTCACACGGCCTGGAGGTGGTTCAACAGGTTAGTGTCCCTTCCAGGTGCTTCAGGCGCTTGGTGGGTTTCTGCTTTTTCCGTGTCTCTGGTCTGTCTAGTCTTGAAGTCCTCTAAGAGGCACCGCAGCTCCTTCCCTATGAGAGAGACTGGAAGCTTTTATTGCTTCCTCGGGCAGGGAAGGGCTTAGTGAATCTGGTCAGTTTCAAGAACTTCCTAAAGCTGTTTTGAGTTGTTTACCCTCCTGTTTAAGGAGCCTCCTCCAGGATGGAGTGTTTCCATATCAGAGGAAAGTGTTACACAAAGAGGTAGGTAGGCATGGTGCCAGGCTTTGTACTCTCCTGTGGTGTCTGCCCGAGGGTCAGACCTACTCAGGTTAGGCGGTGAGGGACAGGAATTTGGGACCAGTGTTGGATCCTATTGCCTGTCTCTTGAGGGCTTACATTTGTCCTTACTTCAAGAGGATCAAATCTGGGATCTCACTCTGAGGTGGCAAAGTTCATTTGTCTGTCCCAAGACAAAAAAAAGTTTACTACTACCCAGGTGTGGTGGTGCATACCTGTGGCTGGGGACCTGGGCTTAGGCCTTGCTCTGCCCTTGAATTTGGGAGGTAGAGGCAGGCAGATTAAGAGTTAAAGGCTAGCCTCATTTGCATAGCGAATTCAAGGCCAGGGTATATACTTCAGGAGACCCTATCTTTAAAAAAAGAAAGGAGGGGAGGTGGGGGGGATGACACGCACCTTTAATCCCAGCACTCAGGAGGCAGAGGCAGGTGGATCTCTGTCAGTTCAAGGCCAGCCTGGTCTACAAGAGCTAGTTCCAGGACAGCCAGGGCTGCACAGAGAAACCCCTCTCAAAAACAGGAACGGAAAAAAAAAGTTAGAGAAGCCAAACTTGGTGATGCACACCTTTAACCCCAGGACTCTGGAGGTAGAGAAGAGGGAATTTCTGAGTTTGAGGCCAACCTGGTCTACAGAGTAGTTCCAGGAGCCAGAGCTACACAGAAAGACCCTATCTCCAAAAACCAAAACAAGAAAGAAAGAAAAGGGGGGAGGGGGACTGGAGTGATGGCTCTTGGTAAAAGCACTTACTGCTTTTGCCTGGGACCAGGTTCAGTTCCCAGCACTCACACAGCACCTACACCTGTCCCAGGATCTGACACCTCTTCTAGCCTCTGCCTATACCAGGCACACACTGTAGTGCACAGACATGCATGCAGGCAAAACACTCATATGCATTAAATACTTTTTTAAAGGCTCCCATTCATTGTCACAGAGCAAGCAGACTACACTTTGCCCACTGGTGATGGGTAATGGGTGGTGAGAACAGTGCAGGCCCTGTCACTGGATGACTGCTGCCTCTGGAAGGGCAGATGAGTGAGCCATGGTGGGGAGACTTCCTGCGTGCCCTTCAAACGCTTCAGATTCGGGGCTTCCACATTAAATGCTTTTCTTCCTGTATCAAGCTAAGATCCTGGTGTCACTTCTGACTCTATTTTTACAAGTGAATCTATCTAAATTGAGAGGTCGGAACATGGGCCTGGGTCTCAGAAGTCTCCAGGTCGGTGGCTCAAAAGTTCCCCCTACCTGTGGTCTCTGGTGTTACAGATACATGTAATAATCCTGCTGCACATAGCCTGCAACCTTGATGATGCCACTGTCCCTATCGCATCTTGCTCTTCTTACTCAGCTGCTTTGAAACTTACTGGCTGTGTGTATGTTCCATGTTCCTGATCAACCAGACCTTGTACTGCTTTCATTCTGCACATGGGGCTTTCTCTGCCTTTGTTCCTTCATCCTTCTACCTGGCTAGTGCATACATACCACACACATCACATCACATACATACACACACACATACATACCACATACATACCACATGCACAATATACACATACCACACATGCATAAACATACATATATACCACACACATCACATACGTGCACAATACATACCACACATACCACACACATAGACGAATACATACCACACACATAGACGAATACATACCACACACATAGATGAATACATACCACACACACCATATACATACATATATACTACACACATCCTCTTTCACCGAGTCAGGAAGCACCAGTGTTGCCCTGAATTTGTGGCATTTTTATACCGTGAATTGTGTATCTTCACTAGACTGTGCACCCCTAGATCACACGTCATTGGGTCACACCTACCTAGGGACTCCCATCAAAGGCCTCAAGGATGACAGGAATGAAAAGGAACAGCTAAAGCCATCTCGAGTCCACAGTCTCATGCAGGGCCTCTAGAATAAGGGCCCAGCGTGGTCACTGGATGTGGATGAGGCGGGCAGGTGCAGGTGACAGCAGATGGAAGGGTCCAGTCTCCTAGCACTGCTCTCGGCTGCTTCCTCCGTCGGGAGGCTACCTAGATGCTTTCTGGCCCACAACAAGGTCGCTGGCAAGCCATCTCCCCATCTGCCTACAGTAATGACTCCACCACCTCAGGTGATACTGTCCACAGGGGCCCACAGAGAGGAGATCATCATTGATGATTAAGTATGTTGCAGAGCTAGGTAACTGAGTGTGACCTCATTATGACTGAGGAAGTGATGTGTGCAGAGATGGGGTCTGTCCGGTCCTGCCGGGAGTTCTACACCATCTGCGACAGGACCCGAGCATATGAAGTATTTGCTCTTTGTCTGCAGAGCTGGAAACGCGGAGATCGAGTACGGAGAAGAAAGTTCATGTTTCCTGAGGCCTAGACCGGCAGGCTTGACTTAGCAGGGTGCATGCTGGAAGTCAAAGCAGAAATGAACTGTTATGTTCTCGTGCTCATGTAGGAACAGAGATTGGGGGGATGACGGGGACAGACGGGACAAGTGATTCCAAGACAGGGGTTCCTGGAGGATAGCCTTTCAGGACTGGGGTAACTCGGGGACAAAGCTGTCCCGGCGTGAGAGACGTCAAGCCACACGGAAAGGCTGTTCCGTGTGGTGGCTGGACAGGCATGAGGTGATGAAGAAGAGAAACAAACAGGAGTCCTTACCATGGTAGGGAGGAGTTACGTGTCAACAAAGAGTTACGCTCTACTGTGGCCTAAAGACTACATGTAAGAGAGTTACATGGTGGGAGGGAGCTGAGCCCTGCTGGGGCCTAGACTGAGGATATTTTCAAAAGGCATGTTGTCTCTTGGACTTTTACTTACTCTTTATGCCAAGAACTGTATCTTGGCTGCCTTGAGAAATAGTTCCAAGAGCCTTGTCCTGCTGCTTCTGTAAACCTGCTTGTTTGTTTGTTTTTGTTTTTTCAAGACAGGGTTTCTAGCTGTCCTGGAACTTGATCTGTAGACTAGGCTGGCCTCAAACTCAGAGATCCACCTGCTTCTGCAAGTGCTGGGATTAAACATGCTGGTTTAAGTCTAATCATGCAAACTAAAATGTCAAGTCCCCCAATCAGGGCAATGCCCAGAGGTGATCCTGAACATAGAGCCAACAGGAACTCTGAGGATTAACTTGAGTTAGCATCAGCCGATACAATAAAGTTGAGTTCTCCATCTCTCCGAGTGCAGACTGGTGGTGTCTTGGGTGGGGATGTCTGCTCCTCGTACAGCCTGACATTGTGGAGAAACTGTTTACGAAGCAAAGAACAAGGACTAGTGAGATGGTCAGGGAGGAAGGAAGCAGGTGTCATGTCTCGGTATAGACATGACACAAAGCATAGAGTTTTATTGAAGATCGACGCCTTAACAGATATTCTGGAAGTTCTATCTGGTTGGAGTATCAAAGGGGAGAGCTAACGCAGAAGGAACTTTTATTTAAAAATATAGTCCTGAGAGATGTTGCTGCCTCCCTTCCAGGAGGGGGCGCTGCAGGACAGGCCTGGAACTTAATTAGGCTCAGTCACCCCTGGGCTCTCACCCACAAGTATCTGGGCCTTAAGGCTCAACTCATCCCTTTCCCAGTGACTGCAAATTCTGTGCCAGAGGGATGGAGAGATGTCAGGAATCTGGATCTAGACTCTGAGAGGTGCTCTCAAAGTCCTGCATCTTCTAAAAGTAGCCCTGCCTCATGACCACACGCCACCTGCTCACTACTGGGAGTCTCTCTCCAAAGTTCTCTGACCTGAGCACTGCTCTGGGCCAGCAAAAAGGCTCTCTCACAAATACATCTTTGGACTTCTTGGCCATTCTCAAACTGAGGTGGTAACCTGTCATCTTTTTGTCTTGTTTTGATTTCTTTCAAGACCGGGTTTTTCTGTGTAATATTTCTGGCTGTCCTGGAACTTGCTTTGTAGACCAGGCTGGCCTCAAACTTACAGAGATGCTGGGATTAAAGGTGTGCACCACTGCCTGAATGGGACCTTGGCACCTTAGTAAGACACACAGGGACAGCTGGAGCTGAGCGGAATGTTCTAGAGACAGGTACTGTACAGTGCCTTCCTAGTTCAGGCCAGGCTGAATCCTGCTGCAGAGGGGTCAATGCCTAGGCATCTGGGAGAAGTACAGGAATAAGGTGGTTTAAGGTCAGAAGCTGGAGTCCTTATCAAGTAACTGCCTCTTTGTGCCTTCTACTCTAAATGGATTTTGAGAAAGGTTCTTGCTCTGTAGCCTTGGCTGACCTGGAATTCTTTTGTAGGCCAGGCTGGCCTTGAACTTGCAGTGAGCGAGCTTCCTGCTTCAGCGTCCCAAATGCTAGGATTACAGATGTACAGCACCGTGCCCAGCCCTGATGAACACATTAACAGTGCCTTTCTGAATGGCTTAGCTCCTGAATGAAATAATCTGCATGAAGTGGGTTACTCTGGGGGACCAGAACACCAACGGCACACCAACTTTATTCTACCTCCTAAGGACAGTGTTTGAAATCAGGACACTGCAGGGAACAGGCCTGATACTTCCTACAAGTGATGCCAAGAGGAAGAGGAAGGCCTCCCCAGGGCTTTTTGGCAAGGAGCCCAGGATTTGAAGGAGGAAGACTGGAGAAGGAACAGAGTTCAGAGAGGCTTCGAATCCAGCAGACTGGCCAAGAAGACAAAGGGGCAGATTTGTCCTTCAAGACCCCACCCAGCTCAGGCCTGTCCCTGTCTGCAACAGCTAGTCAATAGGCTGGTGACTAGCCAGCTGACTCAGGCAGTGCCAGTTAAACCTGCTCCAAAGGGTGGCACAGGCCCCTTCCTCCTTAAGCTCCTCCCCAAGGGCTGTCCTGGAGCCACACCAGGGCTTCAGGAACAGAAGCCTGGGGCTGGAGATGGCCTGGCAGTTAAAACTGCTTACTGCCTTCACAGAGGACCCAGGTTCAGTTCCCAGCATCCACATCAGCTAACTCGCTATTTCCAGCTCCAGGAAATCTGATGCCATCTGCTGGACTCTTTGGGCACCTGCACACATGTGTACATGCACACAGACAGACAGACAGACAGACAGACAGACACACACACACAAATAAATAACAAATCTAAAAAACAACAAAAAGAAAAGGACCCTTTCATGACCTCCCGTCTAGGGCCCAGGCTCTCCTCCCATTTTCCTGAAATGGCAGGCTTGGCAGAAGGCTGACAGGAAGCCTCACGCCCTATCTACTAAGGATATTTGGAGAACTTCTGGGACTCGGCCATGAGCTGAGCCATTAGCTCAGAGCTGCGGTGTAGTCCATGAGAAAAGGGAAAACAACCAATTTACAGCAACAAACAAGCTTTCCATTATTAAGGAAACCCAACCCCAAACAAACGACCACACACCATGATGTCACATTTTTTCTGACTGATTTACTGACATTTCTCAGATGTTGTACAGTTCTCCTTTGTCTCAGCTCTGCCAAGTCAGGGCCCTCCTCCCCATGTATAATACAGAAATCTCCTTTTCTGTGGGAAGAGCCTGCCTGGGGGCTGGAAGGGTCTCATCACATGGGAAGGTGGGTGAAGATCCCTAAGGGATGACCTGTTGCCCTCACCAGTCCTGAGACTCCCCAGTCTAAGACGGGCACAGCTTCCTGCCATCTCCCCTTAGGACTCAGCTAGGCTAGTTCCTTTTATTGGGCTCTCTCATCCTGTCAGACCACAAGTCAGGCTGAGCAGCCCACAGATGGATTCTTTGCTGCCCCTGCTCTCTGGTAGAACCACCTGCATACACGGCTAGCCTGAGAGCGCTGGCCACCCTGCAAGTTTGAGGAGTCAGTAACGGACGGATGGGCTTTTTCCTGGGCCACCTTCAACCAGCTCCTAGCCCTGGCCCAAGCTGATTTATTAAACAAAAGACACTGTCTCTGCTATTGCCAGTCCCAGCTCCCAGTCCCTCCCTGGTCCCTCTGCCCCGTGGGAGGAACGATGTGTAGGCTCACAGGTTGTTCCGCTGAAGTGCTTCACATAGGTTCTGGTTGGCATCTGGCTCCTCGGTCAGCATCTCCACAGTCTCCCACTCCCCAGATCGGCTTGACCTTTTAATGGCATCTACCACGCTCTGCATATATAGTCCATCCTCAAATGAGGCAGCCATAGAGACCGGGGTGCGGTCCCAGGTACGGCGATCCCCTTGGCCCTGGAAGGACTGGCGTAAGGCCTGCACCATATAGACCATACCTTTCAAGTAGAGCAGTGGGACATCCTGGAGACCCTGCTCCGGGAGCCCGGCATCCACAGTCAGCGAGTCTCTCACCAGCAGTTCCTCCTGTGCAGCCGAGTTCTTCTGCCCATAGAGGTCAGCTCCCCGGGCAACAAGACGTCCTGCTGAGCCCACAACCATGACTTCATGTACAAAGGCACCTGGCATGTTGAAGTTGAGTGTCACTGTGCTGCAAACCCCCCCACCCATGAGCATCTGGAAGAAACAGAAGTCATCACTGGTGACGTGCCGGATGCCGCGGATGGTGGCATTCTGCCGCACAAAGGTCTTGAGGAGCCCATGCACCTTCTCAGCTTTCTGGCCAGTCAGGTGGGTCAACAGGTCCACGATGTAGGTGCCCATGGTGTGCAGGCCCCCGCCACCCATGAGCTCATCACATATCCAGCCATAGCTGGGGCTGAGCAGGCTCCCAGAGTAGATGCGGGCATCGCAGATCATCACTGCACCCACGTAGTGCTCCGCGATCAGCTGCTTCATGCGCACGAAAGCAGGCAAGAAGCGCAGCACGTTCCCCACCAGGCTCATCAGCTGTGGGTAGTAGCGAGACGCTGTCACCATCCGGAAGGCGTCCACTGATGTCGCTGCTTTCTCACACACCACATTCTTCCCGATGCCTGTGAATAAAAGACAACGGGAAATCCTCAAACTGTCACAAGATTTGCCTTGTAGGGGGCTGGAGAGATGGCTCAGCGGTTGAGAGCACTGCCTACTGTTCCAGAGGTCCTGAGTTCAATTCCCAGCAACCACATGGTGACACACAACCATCTGTAGTAAGATCTGGTGTCCTCTTCTGGCCTGCAGAACACTGTATACATAATGAATAAATAAATCTTAAAAAAAAAAAAGAAAGAAAAGATTTGCCTCGTAGGGAGAAAAAAATCTTTTTTTGGGAGGGGAACACGAGTTTTTCCATGTAGCTTTGACTGTCCTGGAATTTGTTCTGTAAACCAGGCTGGCCTCCAACTCAAAGATCTGCCTGCCTCTGCCTCCCAGGTGCTAGGAGCAATGGCATGAACTAACACAACACAATTTTATTTCTCAAGTCTGACAAGATGGGATGGAGAAGCCGGGCGGTGGTGGCGCACGCCTTTAATCCCAGCACTCGGGAGGCAGAGGCAGGCGGATCTCTGGGAGTTCGAGGCCAGCCTGGTCTACAAGAGCTAGTTCCAGGACAGGAACCAAAAGCTACGGAGAAACCCTGTCTCGGAAAAAAAAAAAAAAAAAAAAAAAAAAAAAAGATGGGATGGAGACAAGAGGAGCTGGAGGTTAAGGCCAGCCTGGATTACAGAAGAGCCAGTCTGTGTGTGCGCATGCACACACACACACCTCTAGACGGCTCAGGAATGTCCCCTACAGAAACAGGTGATCTGGAAGGGAGGAGATTTAGAACATACTGGAAAGGTCTCAGTGCCTGGGTTCTTTCACTGCAGTGGTAATGGGTACTGGGGATGGTCAGGACGTGAGGCTTCACAGGGGAGTTAATGGGGTTAAGGGAACAGGGGCGTAGGGCACATAGAGAGGGGGTGACATATGCCAAGACTTTAAGGCAGAGTAAGGCCGAGTTAGACTTGCACCCTGGCTGCATGTCAGGACATAGAACCAGACAGATTACAAGCTATTTAAAGCGATATGGGAAAGTAGATGGACAACAGGCACCACTCACTCCCGAGATATTCAAGGTAAGATCCAAATTGGGGCTCCAGAGAGTCCCTAGCTCAAAGCTTCCCCATCTGGGTTTCCTGAGTGAAAAATCACTGTAGGCACCTCATATGTACCATTTTCAAAAATATTTTGTCTGTATGGTGTATGAAAGTGTATGTCTGTATGCATACATGTGTCTGTACAGCTAGTCATACAATGAATGCATACGGAGGCCACATCTAAAACCAGGTGTCCACTTCTACCACTTTTTGGGTTTTTTTATATATAGTCTCTCTGTGTAGGTAGCTACAGCTGGCCTTGAACTCACTCAATAGACCAGGTTGGCCTTGAACTCATAGAGAACCAGCCCCCCCCACTCGCCCCCCACCCTCCCCTCGCTTCTAACCAGAGTGCTAGGATTAAAGGCGTGTGCCACCACCCACCACACCAAGCTATCTGACTTGCGTACACCCTCTGGACTTGGTCTTCAAGCTGCGTCCAGAATCTAACCAGCTCTGTCACTATCCCTCTTCAGGTTATCACTGTTTTGTTTTGCTTGGATTGTAACAAAGGTCATTTCTTGGTAGATAAGTGACAAGACAAGAAGATCAGGAGTTCAAGGCTAGTCTCGGCTACACAGCCAGTGTGAGGCCCTATCTCAAACAACCACTCCCCACTCCCAAAGTCACTTAATTGCTCTCTGCCTAGCTCTGGCAAACCCTTCCGTTTTCTCACAGCATGGTGGTCACATTTCTGTTCAAGCTTGTTACAGTATGACATTCTCCAAAGGTCCATGGGTTGATCCCCAACACGTGGTGCTACTGGGAACAGAAAGCTTTGGCAGGAACTGGGGCCGCTGGAGGCTGTGTCTTTGAATGCGGTGCTGAGTTCCCCTGTTCTTTCTCTTTGCTTCGCTGCTGCTGTCAAGTACAGAGTTTTGCTCCTAAGCTGGGCATGGTGGCTCACATCTGCAATCCCAGCAATCAGAGGTTCAAACAGGAAGATTATGAGCTTGAGGCCAGCCAAGGCTACATAGCGAGAGCCTGTCCCACACACAGGGCAGCCTTTGTAAGACTTTAAGACAATCCTGAAGCCATTTTTGACAATTCTGAATCCTCTCAGCCTCTGTGCCATAGTGCTTCCCCTCCTCCCCTGGGAACCAAAGACCTAACAGCTACACTCGCACGTACTCAGTTCCTGAACAATTACCCATATACGTATGCTTTGGTTCGGTCCCCTGGGAAACAGGGTCAAAATGACCTCTTACCTCATTTGATCTGGCAACAGCTCTCCAGTCAATTATTGGTAATAGCCCTTTCAAATAAGCCAATCAGAATAGTCAAAGAACAACCCCCCTTGCTTCTGTGGCCCCTTTAAAAGTAGACTGTACCTGCTATTCAAGGTCCCTCGGCTTCCCGAATGCTGGGGGACCCTGTCATGACAGAATTAATAAAATCCTCATGCTTTTGCATCGGCTGTGGTGTATGAGATGGTCTCTGGGGATGACTCCTCCTTGGTGTTTGGACGCTAGAGTCCAACACCTTGTTCCACCACGCGCTCTTTGCCTTACTCTTCTGGATCACATGGATCCAGAGGCGATGAAGCTACTCCAAGGTTAAAAGGCTAAAACCGCCAGCAAAGCAAACCTTTCCTTTTAAACTCAGAGATTCTCCTGCTGCGGCCTCCGAGGGTTGGGACTGGCAGGTGACATTCGCCTGGCCAGCCTGTCTTTTTAAGTTGTGGATCTCGAATACTTTGTTCCCGGAATGGAAATCTAACGTAACATAAAACTTAGATGGATCAGAGTATCTCTCCCAGAAAAGCCTTCCAATGGAGTCACCTCTCATTCAGAATAAAAGTCAAAGTCCAACCACCAGGCATGACAGCATGTGCCTATGATTCCAGCACTTGGGAGGCGGGGAATTGCAGGCCTGCCTGGATTATACCAAAAGACTTTGTCCCAGAAAGAATTAGTGTAGTGTGAATTTTAATTGGTCTTAATAATAAAAACTTGGAGTCAGATATTAGGGGGTGAAAGCTGGAAGTCAGAGGAGAACAGCCAGCCACTAATTCTTACTGATATAGAATCCTCAGACCAAATGGGGTATCCTGTCTCTACAAGTCCTCAGACTGAATGCGGTGAGTTCCTGTCTCATAGACTACTCTAGCCAGGACCCCTGCACTTTTCCATTACACAGAGACTGGATAAGAAATGATACAGCTACCTCCTCCCAGTACTTGACAATTAACCCAAATTTTTCTTTTCAGGATCCCCTAAAGATAGAAAATGAATTACACACAACCTTCTGGAATCACCAAAATAAGATAGATAATGGAGTATTTTCTATGAATTTGTCAAACGATAATGACTAGATATTGTTAATGTAAATATTGTCTGTACATATTGTATATAGCTATTATGCTTATATACATAGTTTGTCTTATATTAGTTATAACCTTTTATAAATTTTAGACAAAAAGGAGGAAATGTGTTGATATTTTGTTTGTGATCTAATAAAGCATGCCTGAAGATCAGAGTGTGGAGCTAGCCACTAGTTAGCCATAGAGACCAGGCAGTGGTGGCTCACACCTTTAATTCCAGTATTCGGAAGTAACAGGCCTTTAATCCCAACACGAGGGAGGTGGAGAGTGGAAGGGATGTGGCTGGGTGGAGAGGGGAATATAGGGTGGGAAGAGACAGGAATTTCGTAGAGATAAGAACTAGTGGCTGGCTAGTCTGCTTCTCTGATCTTCAGGCAAGCTTTATTTGTTAGATAACAAACAAAATCTCACCACAGATTAGGGCCAGGGAGATGGCTCAGTGGGGACTCGGGGAAAGCCCTATGCAAGCCTGAGGACCTGAGTTCAATCCCCAGATTCTACAGTAGAAAGTCGTCCGCTGAGCCCCACCACGTATTCTGTGGCACATGTATATGTACATTCATACATACACACACACCCCTACATACACACGACATTCACACAAACACACACCTAGGGCTGGAGAGATGGCTCAGAGGTTAAGAGCATTGCCTGCTCTTCCAAAGGTTCTGAGTTCAATTCCCGGCAACCACATGGTGGCTCACAACCATCTGTAATGAGGTCTGGTGTCCTCTTCTGGCCTGCAGACATACACACAAGACAGAGTATTGTATACATAATAAATAAGTAAATATTTAAAAAAAACCACACCTACATACACACACGCGATGACATGTATGACAATTTTTGTTTCTTTGTTTTTGAGACAGGGTTTCTGTGTAACAGTCTTACCCGTCCTAGAACTCACTTTATAGACCAGGCTGGCCTTGAACTCACAGAGATCACCTGTCTCTGCCTCCTGAGTGCTGGGATCAAAAGCATGTGCCACCATGCCTGACTGATAATAAATTTTTAAAGTAAAAACTTGCCTGGCATATATGTTCAATTTCAGCCTGGAAATTTAGAAAGATCCAGTCTCAAAATAAAAAGGAAAAGAGGACTAAGGATGAGCCCAGCTCTTGCTCCGCACGCATGAGGCCCTAGGGTCAACCCCAGGCACTGAAAAAACACAAAATTCTATTAGTGGTCCACTGATACAACCTTCAAGTCTGACCACAGACCCTTCCAAAACCTCCTTTAGCTCTTTCTCCCTGCCGTGGTCCCTCTTCTGCTCAGCCTTCACTGGCTGCTGGGAGAAGGTGCTGCTGTGCTCGAGAGCCTGGTGGTTAGGGAGAGGCAGCGGTCCTTAGCACCAAGGAAGCTAACAGGAAAACGTCGACACCATCACAGTAAGGGAAGTCTTGAGAGGGACTACACTCTGCAGACCAGACTGGCCTCGAACTCACTGCCTGCCTGTATTCCTGGTTCTTATGGAAGACCTCTGGGCACACAAGGGCCACCTGCACTGACCTGGCTCCACAGCTGCTGCCTGGTTAGAGGGGCAGCTTCCAAACCTTGATGCTCCCTCTCCAGGTCCTCACTGTACCTCCCT